TGGTTATAAAAAAAATTAATTAAAACACTATAGAAAAGATTGATTGTCTTGTTACATTATTATTATTATTATTATTATTATTATTATTATTATTATTATTATTATTATTATTATTATTATTATTATTATTATTATTATTATTATTATTATTATTATTATTATTATTATTATTATTATTTATTATTATTTAGGAATATCTGTTTAAATAGTAATGACAAATTATTGTAGATACATAATTTGTCAAAGTTAAAATAATAAGTTCAACTATTACATTAGTGTAATAGTTACATTTTTAGTAGTATAAATATTATCTTTGACTAATGTAAAAACGCACTAAGATTTTACTTTGAAAGCACAAAAAGCATTCTCCCTTCTTCAATTTTTCCATATAAGTTTAATAGTTGCAACTAGTTTAGTAACTTATATTAGTTCATAAATATTAACAAATATCAAAATCGGTTTTTGTCAACACGATATCAGCACGATCGTTTCTATCAAAAGTTATTACTACCCTAGAAGGTTGGACATGGAACATGTTGAAGACATTTGCATTCCAGACAGTGAAACTACCAACACAATCCTTAAATGTAAGAAATATTTCACTGAAATAAATCCTACTAAAGGTGTAATAAATACAATCTCAGGTCCTGCAGATTTTATTGAAGGAACAGGTAATGCTACGTTCATATTACCAAATGGAACAAAGTTTGTCATCAATAATATTTTACACTCTCCAAAATTAAAGAGAAATTTGTTAAGTTTTAATGACATATATCGTCAAGGATATGATACTGAAACTACAACTGAAGGTAATATGAAATATATTAACATTACTACTAATGTCTTGAGAAAGAAGAAAACTTTAGAAAAACTATCAAGGTTGCCTTCTAGATTACATTATACTTATATACATGCAATTGAATGTAATTTAGTAGTAAAAGAAGATATCAAAATGATGACTTTATGGCATGATTGTTTAGGTCACCCTGGTTCAATAATGATGCGTAAAATATTGAAAGTACACATGGTCATCCATTGAAAGGTTTAAAACTTAGAAAAGAAGATAAACCATGTGAAGCTTGCTCTCTTGGCAAACTAATAACAAAACATTCTCCAGCTAAGATTCAGACAAAATCACCTGCTTTTCTTAAAAGAATTCAAGGCGATATATGTGGACCTATACATCCACCGTCAGGACCATTCAGATACCTTATGGTATTAAATGATGCATCTAGTAGATGGTCATATGTATTTACTATTAAGTCGTGATATGGCATTTGCAAAATTTCTTGCACTAATAATTAAACTAAGGGCTCAATTTTCTGATTACACTATAAACAAAATTAGACTTGACAATGCTGGTGAATTTATGTCTGAATCATTTAATAATAATTGCATGTTAATTGAAATTACCGTTAAATATCCTGTTCCTCATGTGCACACACAAAATGTTTTAGCCGAGTCTTTAATCAAAAGTCTTCAATATATTGCTAGACCATTTATCATGAAAACTAAAATGCCATTTTCCGTTTGGGGTCATGCAATTTTACATGCTGCAACACTCATCCGTCTAAGGCCAAGTGCTAATCATAAACATACACCTTATCAACTTGCAATTGATAAAGAACCAAATATTTCTCATTTAAAGATATTTGGTTGTGCAGTATATGTCCCAATATCTCCACCACAGAACAAAGATGGGACCTCAAAGGAGGTTGGGAATATATGTGGGGTATAAATCACATTTTATTATTAGATATCTTGAACCTTTAACATGTGATGTTTTTCAGGCAAGATTTGCTAATTGTCATTTTGACGAAACAAAATTTTCAACACTAGGGGGAGAAAATAAAAAATTAGAAAATGAGATAACATGGTCTATACCCCATTTATTACATTTGGACCCATATAATAAATCATGGGAAGAAAATGCAAAGAAAATTATGCACTTACAAGATTTAGCAAATCAATTGCCAAATTCTTTTACTGATTTGAAAAGAGTGACAAAGTCACACGTGCCATCTATAAATGTCCCATCTCAAATTGAGATTTCAAATTTAAATGATGTAGCAAGTACATCTAAGGCACACTTAAAGCGTGACCGACCTATGGAATCTAAAGAAAAAAACCTCCGAAAAAGAAAAGGGATAGAAAAGGTGAATATGATCGAAAGTGATCTTGAAAAGACTATGATAATAATAAATTCAAAATTAAAAAACGTGCTCTCGAAGAAGTACAAGATGATGATAATGAGATCATTGATAATGAAAATGAATACAATAATGATCAATTAATTATGTTGATACATGAACTTTGTGGAACCGAAAAGATATAAATATAAATGAAATACTTTCATTCTCCATTGCATGTGAAATTATGAATGAAAATGATGATCCCGAACCAAGAACTATGAATGAATGTCAAAATAGACATGATTAGAAAAATTGGAAGGATGCAATAGATACTGGATTAAATTTTCTTAAAAATCGAAATGAGAAAAATGAGATTGTCAAATACAAGACTCGTCTTGTTGCACATGATTTTTTTTACCAAAGACTAGGAATCAATTATGAGGTAACTTATTCTCCTATTATGGATACCATTATTTTTCGTTATTTAATTGGTTTATCAGTATTTAGCAATCTTGATATGTATCTTATGGATGTTGTTACTGCTTATTTGTATGGATCACTTGATACTGGTATATACATGAAAATCCTAGAAGGATTTTAAATGACATAGACATCCAAACCTAGAGAAATGTATGCAGTTAAGTTGCAAAGGTTATTGTATAGATTACAACAATTAGGGCACGTGTGGTATAATAGATTAAGTGAATATTTTCTTAAATAAGGTTATGAAAATAATCTTATTTGCCCTTGTGTTTTTATAAGAAAAACAATATCGCATTTTGTAATAATTGCTGTCTACTTTGATGATTTAAATATCATTAGAACTAATAGAGAAATAAAGGAAGTAAGAGATTACTTAAAGAAATAATTTTAAATGAAAGATTTAGGAAAAACAAAGTTCTACCTTGGTTTACAAATTGAGTATACTAAAAATGGTATATTGGTACATCAATCAAATTATACATAAAGGGTATTGAAAAGGTTTAACATGCACAAAGCAAACCCTTTAAGTACTCCAACAATGGGTAGAATACTTAACATTAAAAATGATCCATTTAGACCTAAGTTAATGAAGAACATCTTGACTCTGAAGTATCATACCTCAGTGTCATTGGGACACTCATGTACCTTGCTAATTATGTAAGACCCGATATAACTTTTGTAGTAAATTTATTAGCAAAATTCAGTTCATGTCCTACAAAAAGACATTGAAAATGAATAAAGCATATATTCCAATATCTTTGAGGTACATCAGACATTGGTTTATTTTATTTTAACAATACAAAACCAATTTTACTTGGTTATGCAAATGCATGATATTTGTCAGATCTACATAATGTTAAATCACATACTGAATATATATTTACATATGGTAACACTGCAATATCATGGAGATCACAAAAGCAAACACTTGTAGCAACTTCTTCAAATCATGCTGAAGTAATTACTCTTCATGAAACAAGCAAACAACGTAAATGATTACGATCGGTAACTAGAAATATCCAAGGAACATCTGATTTATCCATTGATAATAATTCGACAATTTTGTATGAAGACAATGCTGCATGTGTTAACCAGATGAAATAAGGTTACATCAAAAGTGATAGAACCAAATAGGTTAATATTCAATATATCCGTTCATGTGATAATATGACAGATCTCTTATCAAAGACACTTCCTACATCAATTTTCAAGAAACATGTACAAAATATTGAAATGCATCAACTTTGAGATCTTTAAAGAAGAATTATATGTGCTCTGTTATAAGGGGGGTATCATGCTATACTCTTTTTCCCTTATTAAGGTTTTTATCCTAATGAGTTTTGCCTAATAAGGTTTTTGACGAGACAATATATGTTCCCATAAATTTATCGTTGATAAAACTTCGATGGAACACCGGAATAAATATTTCAAAGAAGAAGTGTTATATTATTATTATTATTATTATTATTATTATTATTATTATTATTATTATTATTATTATTATTTAGAAATATCTATCTAAATAGTAATGGCAAATTATTGTAGATACATAATTTGTCAAACTTAAAATAATAAGTCCAATTATTACATTAGTGTAATAGTTGCATTTCTAGTAGTATAAATACTACTTTTGACTAATATAAAAACACACCAAAATTTTACTTTGAAAACACAAAAAATATTCATCCTTCTTCAATCTTTTCCATCTATGTTTAATAATTACAACTAATTTAATTATTTATATTACGTCATAAATATTAACAAATACTTAAAATCTGTTTTTCTCAACATGTCTTTATTTTATTTTTTTATATTTGTCTTTATTATTTTTTGTTGAGATGTAAGAGAGCTACTAGTAGGGAGAGAAGACGTGGAAGAAGTGATAGTTGTTTTTTTATCTTCATATTTTTTCAATTGTTATTTTAATATAACTATAACTTAAGATAAAGACAAGATTTGATTGATTGTTGTTAAGTTGACGCTAACATGTAAGAATCCACAGAACTATGAGAATTTCCTTTTCCCACCTTAAACGAACAGCCTGTCTTGTTTGTATGTACATGTAAAACACAAAATCAATGTATTTCACTACATTTACTCTTAACTTGGCTTTGAAATAATATAGGTTCACACAAAAGCTGATCTTGATACCATATATAATAATTTGACCACAAAACATATGAACGTAAAACTATTACTCCTGGTGTCGCGTCAAACACTTCATAGTTTACTTATATAGCAAATATCTCTCTCTCTATATTTATCTATCTATCTATCTATCTATCTATATATATATATATATATATATATATATATATATATATATATATATATATATATATATATATATATATATATAAAACGTATAGGAATTTAATAATATATCTAAAGATGCCTTGTGACACCATCAATGTCGCTAAGACCTGAACCTGAAGGTGTCATTTCTCCATCTGATTGTAAACCTGAAAAACCATAACTGAAATCATTTGCAAATGATGTTGTGGCAAATCCTTGATTCAGTGACCATTCAGAGACAGCTCCCATTTGTGCTTTACTGCTTGGTTCATAGCTAGCAATATTTTGATGATGTGTTGTTGTCACTACTGGTGCTTGATTATTATTTGGATAATGATTCACAATTTGATCACCTATAAATAAACATTAATTAATTAACTAATATGTAATGTAAAAATATACTAATGTTTTCAAAGCAATTAATTAAACATACCTTGGGTTAACAAAGTAATGTTATCATTTAAAACTCCATCAATTTCCTCCAACTTATCCCATTTTGTGTATGCTTCTTTGACCAATTTGTCTATATAGCTCTGCAAATATAGAAATTAAAATGAATTAGAGCACCAACAATATATATAGTGTAATTACTAATTAATCAACAAATTAATATATTGTACCTTATTGATTTGACTCAACCCTCTGCTGGAAAATTCATGTCCATTGATATTAGCTTTAATTAATTTGCAAATTGGATTCAGATAAATTACAAGTTGAGGTTCACGGTATATATAGATCTTGCTTCCCATCTCACATGTCATTGCATGCTTTAATGTCACTTCCCACATTTTATCTGACATCCCAACGCCCAAAATCTGATTTTTGTAAAATTCAACAATAAAAGAGATGTTAGCTCATTGTTTACTAACAAAATAAGAATTTAATATATGTAAATATAGATAGATACCTTTCTTAGTTTATGAGTATCAATAACAACTAATTTGAGAAAGTCTTGCACTGTTTTGATCCCTTCAGAATTCATTCTTTTATGAAATACTCCATCTTTTCCTATTTTCTCTAGCCGCCACAAATCATCACCAAGCATTGGTGGATAGTGCTTTTTGTACACTTCATAATATCAATAACAAACAAAATCTAGGTCTTCATTAATATAATATTTTTAAAATTATAGTTTCAAATATAAATATATGTTATACTATACGAAGTTGATGGTAAATAAAACTTACATTCTCCACGGTGATCCTTAACAACAAAAGCCTCAGTCATTGCTTCTTGAATCCTAACACTTTGATTATTCCCATGATGAATAACCTTCACTGCAATTCTGAACTTTCTACTCCTTCTCCAGCTAGAATTATCAGTGAATTCTATATCTCCTATTGCTGCAATTCCGTCTCTCATAGTAAGGTTCATTTCTCCAGCAAGTAATGGTCTTTTCCCAGATCTTTCTTTCACTATTTTTCCATTGAATTCCTCGCTAGTCCAATTCTCTTTTTCTTCAAGTGAAAAATCTCCATCAACAACAACAATCTCTAGCTTTATAGGGTAAGGAAGACTTGTTGGAACAAGTTGGTTGTTGTTGGTTTTTTCAACAAGAATTATGTTCATTGGGTTACCTTCAATGTCAAGTATTCTACTACCTGCAAAAATTAGAACCGGTTATTAGCAAGGTTTTAAATAACGGTCCGTCATCGCAAAAGTAGTTGTGACAAAACGGTATCATAAAGTATTCATACTGATATTGTTATTCACCATTTTTATGACAAATAACAAATTATGCTTAATTTACACCACGGCGACCACAATTAGTACCGACCAAAATTATGAAAGCCTTGGTTACTAGTACCTGTGAAAGTTTTGAGAGGAACTTTTTTGTTGAATGAGAGTTGCAAGGTTGATTGTTGATCATTTGGTGCTTGGATTCTTAATGAAGGTGACCTATTAATGGAACATGGAAGGGACTTTCTTATTGCTTTATCCACCTCTTCACTCACCTAACAAAATGAATCATATATAATCAATAAATTAATAGTATAAGGTATATACTTTAGCTTATATATAATAATATAAATATGTCAATATTTATGGTAAAACATTACTAACCACTCTTGTAAGAAAAGGTTCCAAAGCAGCTAAAAGGTTCGGCATGTTTTGCATTTTAACTGCTTTTTCAATTACACTGTAAAGAAAGAATTCAACATATCATGTATATCATATAACAATGGATCAAAACATGTATGATAATTATCAAGAAAAAGGTAGGAAATTCATACGAAGCTAAATTAGGTTTCATTCTTTTGTCGTTTGGATGATCTTGATCTTGATCATGATCATTAGAATCATCAAAAGACCTTTTAGTAGCCATTTTTTCAAGGAGTTTTGAACAAGAATTAAAAGTTTTGTTTGGTGTGTTGAAATATGAGAAAATGATGAAGTTCAAGGTAAGAATAGAGAAGCGAAGGTTGTATAATTTTGATATTTATAATGCAAAATCTATTGACTAATAATAGTAAACATAAAGTAATAATCCGAAGCTTCTTAGAATGTCGGAGGAAATATCCAAGAAAATAGAATAGATAGCCGAAAATTTACAACGTTGTTGAATAATATATGGTTATCGAAAGAGGACACAGAAACATACGCTATATCCATCAAAAGTCAACAAATAAAACTATTTAATATTACCTTTTTGTTAATATGATTTTTTTAGAGTAAATAATTAGATTAAGTATATTGATTGATAACTTTATCTTTGAGGAGAGATAATTACTCAATATTCATATAGAGTGCTTATTAGGTAATACAAAAAAAAAAAAAAAATAGAAATATGGTACTACAAAATAAATTTTGAAATTTGAAAAGAGTTTTTGAAAAAATTAAAAAACATATGTAGGATGCTCAAAAATTATGGAACTCCTATGGATTGTTTGTAGGCACCACCGCAGCAGTAACTTCATCTTGTATCAAATTGCTTTTTCAAAAAGAGGAATTATAGTATCTGGTTGTTCACAAATGTACATAGATTTCCAAGAAAAAATAAATTAGATTTGAGTTTTTTGTTTGGGATGAAAAAAGAATTAATGAAAAAGGAAAAAGAAAGAAAAAAAAATAATGAAAAGAAAAGAAAGTCAAATAGAGTGACGTCGAAAGAATAAAAAAGAGAAGACTATGAGATAAATTTTTTGATTGTTTATTAGGAATGAAAGTGTATATTTTTTATTGTTTGTTCAAGATGAAATTAGTTCCTCCCTCCTTCTAGTTTCTTTGATATCAAATATAGTGTTAGATTAGATATGGAAATAAAACTGTCTATATAATTAATTTTAAAGATAATTTACTAGAGATTTTAAAATTATATATCAATTTCATCTTTTATGTGTGCCATTATTAAATTTTTTATCGAAATAATCCAACTTTTCAAAAAAATCTCAAATAACCCACTTTTTAAAATTATTCTAAAATACTCTAGTTAGAGTTTGAAATTACACAAGGCCGTAGAAGTGGTCGTAGATGGTTAATGTCCAAAACCAATCCATAACCATAAATAATCCATATATTACAACCGGTTATTAAAATCAATTATAATAACCGGTTTTTATTTTTTAAAATGGTTATAAACCGGTTATATCCATATCAAATTTTATAATTAGTTTTGATTTAATTTTATTTTAAAATTGATTTTTTCAAAATCATAATATTTTTTTTAAAAAATATTGATGTTAAAAAAACAATAGTTATTTTATAATTTTAAAAAAATTATTTTTAAAAATTTTTTGGAAAAATTTGTTATTTACTGAAAAAAATTAAAACAATTTTTTTTTCAAAAAAATTAAATTTTTACTTTTTATTCAGATTTTTTCATTTGGGGTATGGAGTTGGAAAAGTTATTGAGATGGTGTCATTGGAATCTTTAGGTAAAGGGTTTGATTTGGCTAGTGATTTTTGTTTAAGTTTGCTAAGGGAATACATGAGGGTGCTGGTGATAGTAGAAAAATGTTGGGGGTGATTATGGATTAATAAAATGTTTATTTAAGATTAAATATAAAATTTAGGGATATTATTAATAAGGATGCCATTTATGCAAAATTATTGGAGAGGTACAGACAATATTTTAAATGATGTAAAATTCAAACATACTAAAACTCTCAAAAATAAGCTTTTAAAATTTAATTTTAGAATTGGAACTCTTTGTTAAATTAGCATTAAAATTTTTAAAATATTGATGTTAAAAAAAATTAGTTATTTTAAAATTAAAAAATATATATTTTTTAAAAGTTTTTGAAAAAAAAATTTATTTACTGAAAAAAATTAAAATAATATTTTTTTTTAAAAAAATTAAAATTTTTTTCAAAAGAAAATATCTTTTTTTAAAATAAAAATATTTTTTTTTTCAAAAAAATTTTCAAATTAAAAAAATTGAATAATTTGGTTTTTATTTTGGATATGGATGTCCAAATTATGGATTTGGTTAAAACCATATTAAAAATATATCCAAAATGTGGATTTGGTTAAAACTATACTAATAATTAACCGGATTTTGATATGGATATGGATTATTTAAATAACCGGTTTATTTGAGCACCCCTACACAAGGGAATCAGATGAATTGGCGACATTTTGTTAAGGCTATAAGGGAGTCACCAGTTAGATTGGAGACTCCTCATGCAGTCTCCAATCCAATTGGCGACTGGGTGTTGTACTTACAAGGCTGTCGCCAATTCATCTGGAGACCCTTTGTATTTTGAAAATTTTTTCAAAAAAATAAATACTTCCAAAAATAATTAATAAAATAAGTTAGAGGGGAAAATAAATATTATCATTAATTAAGAAAAGTATTATATAAACTAATGTTGGCGACCGAGTTGGTCATACCGGCCACCGGTTCCACATCCCCTAGGCACCCTAACTCGTTGCGCTCGTCCCCCACGTTCTTGATTCACGCCTGGTGTTTGAGGAGTTGAAGTCTTAAGAACATTCCCAGATGATTCCCGAAGGATCTCTTGCATTTTCATTAGCTCCTGTGTGTTGAAACTGAGCGTGAATGAAGGGGTCATTGGTGTGTAGCCTAGACGGTTGAATGGGGACATTGGTGTGAATGATTCATTGGCGAAAGGTTGAAATGGTAGTGGTGTTTGAAAGCCATAAGATTGTTGAGATGGTTGAGTGGGTAGGCCAGGTATGATGTCAGAGCGTTTTGGCTATGAAAAGATGTTTGGGCGTTATGGCTATGGTATGATGTACCCTAGTTATGGCTATATCTTGATGTTGTGTTAGGGCCATAGCCATATTGGGATTATGGGTAGTAGTCAGTGTGTGGGATATGATATGAAGACGTTCTTGGTATTGTGGTTGGGTATTTGGCATGTTTGGATAGGGAATGTGTTGGTAACTCTGTTGGGTGGGGGACTGTGAGTAACATGGCCTTTCTAGTGGGTGGGGGCTGTGAATTTCGGGTATGCTCTAACTCAACCAACATTTCAATACTACCTTAACGAAATTATGATGTCAAATGCAAATGCAGGAAGCTGGTTAGACAACATTCCACTCGAAAAATGGACAAGGGATTTTGATGGTGGATGTCGTTGGGGCCACATGACGACAAACCTTGTGGAATCCATGAACAGGATATTCAAAGGAATTAGGAACCTTCCAATCACCGCTTTTGTGAGATCAACATATTATAGGTTGACACCATTTTTCGCAACAAGAGGTGAGAGATGAAGTGCAGCGTTAACGTCCGGTCAGGTATTCAGTGAAAGCATTATGAAATTGATGAAAGAGGATGCTATCAAAGCCAACACACATGCAATTACAGTCTTCGATCGTCATAGGCAAACATTCAGTGTACAAGAAATAATGGACCATAATGAGGGGAGGCCTAATTTATCCTATGCCGTCAGCCTAAACAGATGTTGGTGTGACTGTGGCAAGTACCAGGCCTTTCGTCTACCTTGCTCACATGTCATTGCGGAATGCGCACATGCTCGTCAGGATGCTTATGGCTATCTATCTGATGTCTATAAGGTGATTAATGTTATGAACGCATACAACGAAGGCTTCGCAGTGCTACCAATAAAGGATTATTGGCCTCCATACCAGGGTGACATAGTTTGGCACAACGATGACATGAGAAGAAAGAAAAAGGGACGTCCAAACAGTAAGCATATAAGAACCGAAATGGATACGACTGATAAAATGATAAGATTGTGCAGTATATGTCGTCAGCCCGGACAGAATCGAAAAAAATGTCCCTATGTCGGAGGCACATCTGCATCATGATTTAGCTTATCGCTTCATTTGTTGTAACCAAATATTTTAATTATTGATGAGTCTTTGTTACAACGGTCTTAACAATAAACAAGACTAACAACACACAACACATACTAATTTCATAAAACATAAAACATTAACTAGGTGATTACGATATTCTTAACTGATTACAAGAATCAAACTAATTTCATTCGGTCCAAACATGACTTCCCTCGTATATTTATCTATCTTAACACGAACTCATCTACGCAGCCGATCAAGTCTCTCGATACTACAAATCTTTTCCCCTTCACCAATGTCTCCTTCCAACCATCAATTCAACTCCCTCTTAAGTTGATTAAAACTTTGTATGTTCCAAAACAACATGTCCATCGGAGGTTTCTCTCTTGAAAGATATCAGATGAAATTTGGAAGTAAATGATCAGAACACCTCAATTTATAGAAAAAAATTTCAAAATAAAAGGGGTCTCTAGATGAATTGGCGACACTCTTGTAAGTACAACACCCAGTCGCCAATTGGATTGGAGACTACATGAGGAGTCTCCAATCCAATTGGCGACTCCCTTATAGCCTTAAAAAGGAGTCGCTAATTCATCTGGCTCCCTTGTGTAATCCCAGACCCTAATTGGGGTACTTTGGGAATAATTTTGAAATGTGGATTATTTTAGATTTTTTTTTTGAAAAGTTGGATTATTTGGGTAAAAAATTTGCCATTATTTCATATTTGTGGATTAATTTGATAAAGATACATAAATATGTAATTTATAAAAAAAAATAATTGATATGCACTAACAGTGTAAAGATTTTTTACATTGTCAGTTGATCTCAATCACTAATTTTTTTAAATGCTTTGATTTTTTTTCTAACCACTCAAAAAATAATACCAACGGATGGTTGTGATGTATTGACAGTTTAAAACGTATTACACTGACACTGCATAACAATTAATCTCATCTATAAAAATATATCACTTTTATTTAATTTCAATTTTTATTTAATTTTACCTTTTACAAATATATTTTACTTTACTTTTAATTCTTTCTATTTTATTTTAGATATATTTTACAATCGCACAGTGAAAATAATGGTTTCGTAGGTGGAAATCGACTTCTGATTCTCACATATTTTTCCTATCGCACATTCTCTCTTTGACTCATCGTTTCGAAAAATTTTTAGTTTATTGGATAAGAGTTCTCGAAATCAAACGCTAAATCCACTGCGTTCGACCTAATCAAACAACATATCATCCTTGATTTCTTAAATTTCCAGATTCCTAACTTCCAAATTTTTTTAGTAATGGTCGAATATAAAGCTACTTGTTCTACCACAGTATGCAAAGTCGTAGCCGCAGTCGCTCAAGCGGTGTTAATCAACCACTTCCGCCTCCTCCTTAAGACAATGCAGATCAAGTAGCATATACTCCACTACATTTGAATCTATTCCAACCTCCACAGATTGTCAGATCTACTCTAGTGCCTTTGATAAAACCTCTGATACCATCACCAGCTTCACAACCAAAAGCATTCTTTGGTTTTCAACTGTTGTGATCCAATATCAGAATACAAGGAACTAATGAGTTGTTGAACAACATGTATAACATCACTCAACAACAAAATTCGCATGTGATAGAGGAGAGTTTGCTCCGTCTTAAAGAAAGCATACACAACACATCTGCATGAGGAAACACATCACAATAGGCCATATCAAGAGAAACCAAGCCTCCATCCCTGAGTTGTCCTCATCGAGAAAAGACGAAGCTACGAAGTTACAAAATCACCAGAAAAGCAAGAAGCGTCAGACTTCTCCTTAGAGCCATGGGGGAAGCTGAGGCGTCCACGCCCCTCTGCAGGACCAGGTAGAGAAACAACCGATAAAAAATCCATAAAAACATCCTTTATGCACTTGCATTTTGGACAGTAGAATACCAAAGTCATTGGATAAGCGTTATAAGATGGTAGAATACAAGGGGAAATGATATTCTGATGAACACGTGAAACTTATCAAAGACCAACTAAACTACTTCTACATTGACAAAGTTTCCAAATGTAAACATTTTACTTTAAGCTTGAATGGATCAGTCAAACTATGGCTCAACACTTACCGAAAGGGAGCATTGAGTCTTGGACCAACCTGCGCAAGAGCTTCACCGCTCACTTCATGACCCGAAAAAGGCAGCCAGTGACAGTATCTTCCTTAAGCAGGATCACCCAAGGAAGGAAGAAGATTTTATGTTCTACGTCGACCGTTTAATGCATGTCGTCGTGGAAGTAGAAAGAGCCAAAAAGGTCTCAAATGTTGGATATTCGAGAATGTCCTACTACAGGATAGCCATTTTAGACAAAAGATAGGAAGAAGAAAAACATGTATCATAAAGGAAATGTTGAATAGGGCTCAATCTTTCACCAGCCTCGAGAAAACCTTGAACACCCGATTCTACAATCCGTTCATTGTTTATGCTAATTCTATCCATTCAGTGAGGATGGATTCTTATTGGCAGAAAGATGAATCTGATTAGGGAATGCACAATCAATATGATTAGTACACGCCTTTGAAAGTGTCACGGGAATAGATTTATCAAGAGTGTTTTAACCCAGAATTCTAAAAGGGAGGAATCAAAACTCCCTTTTCCATCAGAGGCATCCCGGATAGACAAGACAAAGTATTATCACTTTCACAAGGGCCATGACCCTAATACTAATGATTGTATATAGTTGAAAAACACTATCGACGGGTTGATAAAAAGAGGCCGGTTTTTTTAATACATGAAGGGAAGAAAAAAAGATAAGGAAGACTCGCCCAAGAGTAAGTTTTTGTCAAAAGCTATGGATGATGGGACCAGGGGCAAAGATAAGGAAGTTAGTAAGGAAAAGTTCCAATACACTATCAAAATTATCGGAGCAGGCGCCCCAGGAAATCATCCCATCCAAGGAGACGATGAAGATAAACATATCTGAGATTTTGGCTGTCCAAAAGAATGACGGAGGCATGTTGACCAAAACCTATGACCGACTAATGCTCGAGTTTTGGAACAAAGATAAAATTGGGGGAACCCCGAACGAAATATTTCCCTTAGTCATTACAATTATGGCCATACATTTGTTTTCTCCCAAATTTCGATCATTTGTGGTTTCTTGTGCGACATCATGTACTCCGAGTTGTTTGAGAAGATGAGGCTTGATACAAGAAGTTTATGATCGTACGAGGGCTCAAAATTAAAGACCTCTAATAGTATGACCATCGTCCCTAAGGGAAAATTAAGATGATGATATTTATAGGAGAATGAAAGCACATATGATTTGTCAGCTTATAGTTCCTTATAATCCCCTGTAAAAGTGTTTACAATTTCATTTTTGGAAGGCTCTTTGTAGCCACCTTGGACGTTGTAGCCTCACTGTTCCATCCAAGCTCAAATACCATAATATTTAAGGAGATCTGGTCACAATCAAGGTTTATCTTGATGTGGCTAAAAATATATATCAAGCACTCCAAAATAATTAAAGAGAAAGCAAGGCAATGGAAATCAATGTGGTGTCCCTAACTAGCTTGCTCAAAAGCATGACCCCCTCCCAAAAAATTGAAGAATAAGTGGTTGCCTGTCCACCTAATTACATTTTCGAATTCGAATTTGGTCTTATTTCCTTAGAATTAGTTTTTATTTTGCAAATGAAAGTAAATATTTCAGCACTTGTAATTTCTTCCTTAATAAAGGAGTAACCTGGTCAACAATAGAGCTAGGGAGATTGAGTGGGCGTAGATAATTACCTACCTTGGTAAGAGAAGCAGAAGCTTTATGTATTTCTTGCAGATATGTATCCCATAGGAGCATTAGTCTATACACACTTTCCTCATGTCATTATTTCTCTTTCCATTACTAGTCAGACCAAAGAGCGTCCTAATGACCAGTACAACCAATTTCCAGAGCAACAAATGTCCACCAAGTGTAATGTGTCAGAGTCACCAATTCTTCCTCAAGAGCATGTCCAATTAGGCTGGCTAAGTAAGAGCAGTCTTCCTCTAGAGGAGAAACCAGACGTTCTTTAGATGGGCGAAGACCTAACCACGTCAACTATAGAATGGTCGGAGGAGTCGTTGCATGCATCGACCTCTAGGGAGCATTCAAATTAGCAACATTCTGAGAGGACTATAAAGTAGTGGTAGGGCTTTCTATAGTTCACGCTGGCCATATTCCCTGTCTTAAAAGTGCCTCTTCATCTTTCATTATTAAATCTGAATGCAATTATTACCAAAGTGAGCACATTATAAACAAGTGAGTTTGCAACGAAGAATCAATGGAACCCAAGACTTAGCTAAAAATAATATTCCTTTCTTCATTGGTACGGGCATCCATCAGTAAGTAGGTGTCTATGAGTCGCTTCGAGTGTTTTTGTGAAATTTTATCCTGAGGAATAACACCTCCTGGCGTAACCCAAATCCTTGACAAAACCAACAAATCACTTCTTCAGATATAGATCTTCTTGGGAAAGATTGTTTCATTTGTAAATGTATAACCCATTTCCCATTAGGAAATAAGCTTCAGTCCAATTCTTGGGGATCAAGTTGGTGCACCTGCCTCCCACTATGTACCCGACAATGCATATTGTTGCATGAGCCTGGGGTGGAGAGGGGAAACCATGAAGAATCGGGCTTCGAAATGCTTCCAGTTCTCCAAAAAATCCTTAAAGCCACGAATGGTTAACACTAGTTGAACCAAACCATGAACTTATGCCTGAGTCACAGGACCATGTTAAACTCTTAACATGTGGAAGAAAAAGGTCAAAGAAGGTCTCATATTAAATAGTTGCACCAATATTGGAAGACTTTTATATATGCCTAACTCACAGGGTAAAGCTACGACGAAGCAACCATCAGATGTTTAAGGACTTCCATTTTAAAGCCATTAGAGGGAAATTAGAGATCCAGGATCGAGAAAACGCACTCAAAGATAGGGATGTCTGATCCGCGGTCGCTCGCGGATCAAAAACGAGTAATTTTATAAAAATGCAGTACAG